GGAAAGATCCAGTTGAAAGGGAGAATCTGGTTGTCCTAGAGCCATGTAATTGTTAATAATCCCATTCTAGAGCTGAGGAAATGAGGCTCTGGAAGGCCCAAGATCACATTGCTAGTAAGTGGCAGAACTGAAATTGGAAGTCGCATCTTCTGACTCCCAGACCAATGAAGCCATGCATGGAAAGGAGCTGGCAGGGAGGCATTAGGAGATAGAATTAATGAGCTCACCAGGCCTAGGGGCTCAGAAGACACCCATATATTCTGAATAATCCCTCTAGAGCAGTTGTCTCAACTGGGGGTGATTTTGCTCCCCCAGGAGACATTTGGCAATGTCTGGAGACAGCTCGGTTGTCAGAACTTAGGGTGGGGGTGTGCTATTGGTACCTGGTGGGCAGAGGCTAGGGATACTGCTAACGGTCTGCCTCACCCCCCAGCATGCACAGCCCTTGCAACAAGTCAATAGTGCTCAGGTTTAGAAACCCTGCTCTGGAAGCTCCAGGGCTTCAGGGAGCTTGTTAGCATCTCCACCCTCTCCACTAATGCAAGTATCTTCTTCATTGTTTTTACTATCTTTTTACTTCTGTGATTTGGTCAAATTGCAAAACATCCAAACAATGCAGACATTGTTAAAGTATCAAGTAAAAGTCTTCCCTCCCTCAGTCAGAATTCCCCAGAGCTAATGGTTGTTACTATAACTTTAGTAAAGGGGTTGAAATCCACAAACAGAAAACTTATTTTCTCCCTCCTGTTTCTTCCTTAACATTCCTTGTGACCTATTTTTCCACTGCTTCTTGGATGAAATCTACTGAAGAGCCAGAACTTTTTCAGAGGCTTTCTGATTATTAAAAAATCCTCCGATTACCTCCAGGAATTAACATGCCCAGTCTAGTGGAACAGATAAAACCCCAAGCTTCACTAAAAGTGAAAGATTTACCCCTCTCCTCCACTGAGGCCTGTCAGGCTGCAGAGGCCAGGGGTGTGGTCAGTGTCTTCTCTCTTTTCTGTCCCTGCTGGCTTATTATTTAGCAGTTTCCCTGTTGATGTATATTGAGGTAGCTTGTAGTTGTTTACTCTTATAAACAATGTTGAGCCATCTTTGTACCTATGTTTATCTGTACACACTTGTTATTTCTTTAGGACAAATTTCTGGAAATCAATGTGCTGAGGTATGCTTATGAGGCATGCGTATTTAAAACAGTAATACAGGCCGGGGGCGGTGGCTCAAGCCTGTAATCCCAGCACTTTGGGAGGCCGAGGCGGGTGGATCAAGAGGTCAAGAGATTGAGACCATCCTGGTCAACATGGTGAAACCCTGTCTCTACTAAAAATACAAAAAAATTAGCTGGGCATGGTGGCACGTGCCTGTAATCCCAGCTACTCAGGAGGCTGAGGCAGGAGAATCACCTGAACCCAGGAGGCGGAGGTTGCAGTGAGCCGAGATTGCACCGTTGCACTCCAGCCTGGGTAACAAGAGCGAAACTCTGTCTCAAAAAAAAAAAAAAAAAAAAAAAAAAAAAAAACCAACAACCAATAAAACATACTTCCAGATTGTACTCCATAGTAACTGCATCAGTATATGTTCCTACCAGCAGAATATGAGAGGGTTCATTAAGGGTTCTCATTCTTGGCTGGGTGCAGTGGCTCATGACTGTAATCCCAGCACTTTGGGAGGCTGAGGCAGGTGGATGATTTGAGGTCAGGAGTTGGCCACACGGCCAACATGATGAAACCTCATCTCTACTAAAAATAGAAAAGTTAGCTGGGCTTGGTGGCATACACCTGTAATCCCAGCTACTCTGTAGGGTGAGGCACAAGAGTCACTTGAACCCAAGAGGTGGAGGTTGCAGTGAGCTAAGATTGAACCACTGCACTCCAGCCTAGGCAGCAGAGCAAGACTCTATCTCAAAAAAAAAAAAAAAAAAAAAAAAAAAAAAAAAAAAAAAAAAGGTTCTCACTCTCTCTCCCCACATTTTTCAATACAGAACATGCTAGGGGGGCCAGGCTGACCTTAACTACTGATTGAATGAGTGCTGAGAGAACACCCATTCTTTGTGGGCTTCTTGAAGCCTATGAGGAAAGCACAAACTCTCCCAAACTTGCTCCTCCCTCTTGGCACATAGTCATCTCTTACTCCTCTCCCTCCTCCACCCCCTCAAACGTCAGGATTCTAGGTCCTGAATAGCTCTTGTGTCCATTGTCTTCTCTCCGTTCATGACCAACGTTGGAATTCAGGCCTCATCATCTCTTGCCTACAAGAGGTCCTTGCTGGTCTCCCCATCTGCAGTTTTGCCATCTCTGATCCATTCTTGACACTCCCAGAGTGAAGTTTCTAAAATGCCAATGTGGTTACCCCTTACCACCAGAGGATGGCTTTTTAGGGTCCACTCCATAGGGCACACTGTGATCTGTCTTCTCCCGGTTCCCGTCTCATCTGTGGCTCTTTGCCTCCCTCCTCTTACACTCCTGCTACACATTGCTGCCCCAAGCTTCAGCTCTTTCTTAGCCCATTCGGTTCTCTCTGGCTAGAATGTCCTCCTCCTCTTCTTTGGCTGCCATCAAGCAGAGAGTGGACATTTGTTGGTTTGTGGCTTCCCAGCATTCATTCCTCCCCTTTCCTTAGGCTCCTGTTTAGTGAATTGTTTCTGCCTGATTGGGAGTAAGGTTGGTGAAACAATAAATCCATGCAAGCCTCTTTCCATAGAAGCCAAAGGGAAGTTGCCTTCCCCTCCCCAGCCCAGTATAGCCAGGAGGCAAGCATGGGACTAAGCTTAGTGACTGGACACTCTCGTTGGACTTTGAATCTGGAACAAGCAATATGAGAATAGAGGAAACAAACTTCTTTCATTTTATTGGCAGCATCCTGATCAAACCATTCCTGCTTCCTATTCCTTCCCAACTCCTCCCCAGGAAGTGCCTTTGCTTATGTGGGTTTCCGTACCTGGTTCTCTAGCTTTTCCCTTGATTCTGTAAGCTCCCTACAGCTTACCCCTCCAACTGCATAAATTCCTTTCTCTTCTAAGCTAATCAGAGATGCTTTCTGTTACTTGCAACCAACAATTTCTGATAGAAAGCCCAGCTCAAATGTTCCTACTTCTGGTTGTGCACAAACATACCTCCCTGTACATTCCCATAGCACCCTCTACAAAGTGTTGATCACATCTCACTTTTGTTTTCCTGTTCCTTCCATTAGGTTAGAAATTTGTATTGGTCCCATCCTAGTGAGCTCTGCGCTCACTAATTTATGCCTGGCCCAAAGCCAAACATTTAAGGGAACAAACATTTAAAGACTAAATTAATGGACTAGTAGCTCTGCCTGCTCTCCCTCTGGGGGCTTCGGTGACTTACACAGACTCTGCCATGCCACAAAAGTAGTAAAAACTCACCTGCCTCCTTCATGAGTCTGGCTGGCAATAACGTGGGGTGATTTCTGTTTGGGACACTCCTGTCTGTGCCATGGAAAATGGGGTGAGGGAGGGCAGGAGTATGAAGAGAAAAGGACAGAAGTGGGGCAGGGAGGCAGCTGTTGGAGCAGCTCAGGGGGAAGATGGTGGTGAGGGGGATTAACATGGTGGCACTGGGAACAGAGTAAGGGGGCTGACTGGTGAGACTGTGAACAGAGCATTAGAATTGAACAGGCTGCTCAGTTGTTTCTGGTAATTCCGGTAAAAGTAAAAAGTGGCCATTTGAGATAGCTTCCATCAGAAGGAGGTGGTGAGGGAGTGCAAGCGTGCCTGTGCGTGGTGGAGCAGGGGTGGGGGATTGTTAGGGGAGGGTGTCACACTATCTCCAGCATCCCCCTCCTGCCAGCAGCCATGACCATGCAGGCTGTCTTGCCTGTTTTCTAAAGAGCTTCCCCAGGCAGCAGGGGAGAGAGGAGAAGGGGGGCTGGCCACCCACACCACTCAGCAGAGGTGAGCCAAGGAGCATTGAGTCCTCAAGTTCCCCCTCCCCCAGCCACTACAGGCTGCCAGGTGCCTTGTTTTTGATGAAAGCTTTTAAAAACCCATGTGCATGGATGGCCATGCATTCATTTTTGTTCATTTAACTAATACTCACTGAGCCTGGAGCCACGCAATGGTGAGTAAAGCCTGCCATGGACCCCGCTCTCAAGAAGCTCCCGAGCTGGCGAGCTGGCGGGGGAGAAGATGTGTAATCAGGCAATTAGGAACCAGAGTGAGCGGGAGGTAAGCACTGGTTGCTATGGGAACACGAGGAGCGGCCACAGCTGCTGCTCTTCTCCGAAGAGTGGTGGCAAGCAAAAAAGGAGGCGCACAACAGGCAGACCTGCTTGCCAGGCCCAGCTCTGCGCAGCGCAGCCAACTGGTCCAGGACAAAGATCTTCTGGAAGGACAAAACCCATCAGCTCTCTGCCACAGCATCTCTGCACCTAAGAAATAAGTAGGGAGAGCATGATCCAAGGACCCAAATGAGAGGCTGTATGTCTGTGCCTGGCACCCAGTAGGTCTATAGCACATGGAAGCTTCTAGGAATGTTGTTTTCAAGAAATATTTGTAGGTTAAAAGTTTCTTGGGTTACCGGACACCAGGGGTGGAGCTGTGAATGGGATAAACGAGGCTCCTGCTCTCAGGGAGCTGATAGTAATTGAGGAGGGGAGACAGATACAAACATGCTTATATGGTATGAGCCATTACTACTGTGATCATGATCATGAGGCTATGAGTGTGTTTCACGGTAGGAGCTGGCCTAGGCTAGGGGGCCAGGAAGGCTTCCTAGAAGAGGGACCGTTTCAGCTAAGATCGAAAGGAAGAGAATTACCAGCAAAGAGGGGGGAAACCTGCATTCCAAGTACAGCGAACAGTGTCTGTGAAGGTGCCAAAGCAAGAGGGAGTCTGATATGTCCCAGGCAAGGAAAGGAGGCCAGGGGAAACTGGAGAGGGGAGGCTGGAAAGATGGGCAGGACATTAATCCACTCAAGCCTCCAGGCCGTGGTGACACGTTCACATTGGATCCTAGGATGACCCCATTGCACACTTCCCCCACCTCATAATGCTACTGTGACTTCCACTGCTGATCAGCACATTGAAACAACTGTCAGTGCCTGAGGCATAGCCATGCTCAATGGGGCCTGACTCAGAGCAGGTTTGGAGAAGATTCTGGAATTTGAGAGCTGTCAGAGCTCTTGGAGAGCATTTAGGCCCAAATTCTCACTGTGCAGATGGAAACACTGAGGCCCAGAGGGGAGACTTGCTCAGGGTCGCACAGCCAGCAGGGGTATCGGGCCTTTAACTAGAGCTCTGCTTAAGCAGCCACGCAGTACCCCGTGCCTCTGTGGAGGTATAAAGGTAAGCTTTTTCCTCCAGGTGCCATTTTCTCTCCCTCTCAGGACCACCAGCAGAGTGTTTCCAGCCCTTTCTTGCACTTCTCCTAGTGTTCCTCTTTTTCAAAAATCCCCAGTTCCATTAACCGCAGATTCTCATTTGCTTCTCCTCCACCCTTCTGTCACGATGGGGCAGCCAGAGGCAGGGCTTGGACCCCAGGCAGGGCCTAGCAGAGCTCCCGGGCCAGCTATTGATGTGACTTCCTGGCTTACCCTAGCTCCTGCCCTTGCTATCCCCTGAATCATGTTCTGTGGGCAAAGCCATCTCCACTGACATGGTCACAGTGCTTGCCTGCCCAGGCAGGCCTCACCACACACACACACTGGTGTAGTTGATACAGTCTCAGCTATCGTCTTTTTTTTTTTTTTTTTTTGACATGGAGTCTTTCTCCCTCACCAGTTTGGAGCGCAGTGGCACAATCTCGGCTCGCTGCAACCTCCGAGTCCCAGGTTCAAGCGATTCTCCTGCCTCAGTCTCCCAAGTAGCTGGGACTACAGGCGCATGCCACCACACTCAGCTAAATTTTGTATTTTTAGTAGAGATGGAGTTTCACCATGTTGGCCAGGGTGGTCTCGAGCTCTTGACCTCATGATCTACCCACCTTGGCCTCCCAAAGTGCTGGGATTACAGGCGTGAGCCACTGTGCCCAGCCTCGGCCATCGTCTTATACACTCTTCCACACCCCGTTGCCGAGATGGTAACAGTGAGGCAGAGGCAGCCCAGAGTTCTTGCCTGTGAATGAACTGTGTCTGGTCTTCTGACTCTGCGTACTCTACTTGCAGCATTGCCCGCTGGCTCCCTTCTCTCCAAGCACAAGAGGAATGAGGGGAGAGGAAGACCCTATGGGAAGACGGAGGCCAGCACTGCCTGAGCGGAGACTGCAGGGGTCAGGGTGAGAGGAACCTGCCTCTCTGCCCCTCTAGCACAGCTCTTACCCAGCTAGCCCTCCCTACAGAGCAGGCCCAGGGGCCAGGAAGCTGCTCTTGACTTCCATCAGGGAACTCTCTGCCTGGTAGGGTCTCTCTTTTGTGCAGGAACTGAGGCCACCACATTCCTCTTGCCTTACTCCTGGAAGGAGCTGGCTTTGGAATCAACAGTCCTGGGTCCAAATCCCAGCTCTGCCACCTCTGGCTGGGTAGCCTTGGACAAATCTTTTTAATATCCCTGGGCCTCAGCTTCTCTATCTGACCATAAAAATTGCTATCTGGCTTGCTGTGGAAATTAAATAAGGGTGCTAAGTTCCAATTCCCTACCTGGTATATAATAGGTGTTTGACAAATGTTAGTCCTCTCCGCACACTCTTGGCTTGTCTCTGCAGCCCCACACCCAGCAAGGTCTGCCTAATTCCTTCCAGAGATCTTTGGGCTGAGGCTGGGACCAGATTTGGCAAGAGCCTCCTGGCTCCGGGGAGGAGAGAAGGGAGCTGTGTCCTATGGTAGACTGTCCTAATCCCTGAAATTCAGCAGGAGGCATGCAGTGAGAAGCCACACCAGGGGAAAAGAGGAAGGGAGGGAAATTGGAGAGGAGGAAGTGGCAGGTGGCTTTGGGGACTATGGGAAGTCAGGACAGTGGGGAAAGGGGCCTGGCCACATGGGGGTCCATTGGGCTAGTTGAGGCAGTGCCAGAATGTTGAGAAAGAAAAGGAGGAGGACTCTAGGGAACAGGCTGCCTGGAGCTCTTGATGACGACTTCTCTGAGCTTGTCCTGGGAGCATGGGGTCTCTCTCTCACAGAGACCCATGTAGGCTCCAGCAGGGGATTCACTCCAGGGCCATTCAGCTCCAGACACCTGGTTCCCTCATATCCCTGTTGTCTGCCTCCACAAAGTAAACCCTCAACCTCACCCCAGAACTGTGTTCCCTTTTGATCTTTTATTTCCTGCAACCCACATGCCCCCCAAATATCTCAGATTTTACAAATTTTTCTTCACAAGAAATTCCCCATCTCCAGAAGTCACCGGCATTGATTGCCACAAAGAAGCCTTAACTTTGGGTCCCAGGCTATGGGTGCTTTTGGTTGAACTGTTTCCACTGAAGCATATCCACTGACAGCCAGGAATACCCCTTGGAGAGATGCCAGGCAAAGTTCAGTGAAGTCTGGGGCCAGGAATGGCCCTCAGTTTCCAACCTGGGTGAGGACTAAGTCTATGGCATGGATTAGAGTTGAATTCATAGTTGGGATCAGGGCTGGATTTGTGACCAGGTTGAGGTCTCAGTCCGTGATTAGGGTTTCTTAGTATCTTTTGGTTGCAAGCAACAGAATTCAACTCTGGCTAACTTGGGCAATAACTAAGACTGTATTTTCAAGGTATTGGGCTTGTTTTCAGAATTGATTGATATAAATATGACTCAGCTCCAATCTTTTCAATTTATGTGTGTCTCCTTTTGAGTTTTAAATTCCTTGGAGAGGAATCTCTGCCCAGAATAAGTCAAGTTAGTCAGGCTGCAGGGTCACACATTGCCGAGGAAGTGAGAAGGCTCCAGGCTTTAGGGAAAGCAGTCTGGCACCATTTATTAAAAAAACAAAAAGATGTGCATCATTTGACCTAGCAATCTTACTTCTGGGACATCATCCCATAAGAATGGAAGTGGCAATATTTAAGAACCTATATGAACAAAGATGTCTTAGTTCATTTTCTGCTGCTGTTTAAGAATACCACAGACTGGGTAATTTGTAAAGAACAGAAGTTTACTTGGCTCATGGTTCTGGAGATTGGGAAGTCCAAGAGCATGGCACTGGCATCTGGTGAGGGTAATCCCATGATGGTAGGCAAAAGGTAGAAGCGTGCATGCAAAACGCAGAGTAAGAAGAAGCCAAACTCATCGTTTTATCAGATCCCACTCCTCTGTAACTAACTCACTGCTACAATAATGGCATTAATTCATTTATGAGGGTGGCACCCTCATGACCTAATCACTTCTTAAAGGCCCCACCTCCCAATTCCATTACATTGGCAATTCAAGTTCAACATGAGTTTTGGAGGAGACATTCCAACCATAACAGATGTGTATTGCATAATTGCTTACAGCTTTTTTAGACCCTAAAAATCATAGTAACCTATCAATAGGTTATTAGCTTAGTAGATTATGATACATCCACACTATGAAATACTAGGCAACCGTTGAAGATTAGTAATTAGAGCCATACTGATTGATTTCCAGGGGGTGTTATTGAGTGAGAACAATATGAATTGGAAAAGTACATATATGATCTCATTTTAATTAAAAAGGACAAATAAAATCTTGTACATGTATTGCATCTGTGTGTATATATATACACACATACTATACATATATGTATGCATATGTCTGTATGTGATTATACAAGTATGAAGAAAAACATGGAATAATGAATACCAGGTTAATGACATAGGTTGTGGAGCGGGTACTGATACAGGTCCAGGTTGGAGGCAAATTAAAAATAGCAAGGACTATGGTTTTTTCTCCTTTCATAATGGAGATTTTATTGGTTGACGATCAGTACAGACATTTCAATTGGTACACAATTCTTAACAGACGTAACAGAAATCTTAAAAGCCATGTATTGTAATCCTTTTTTAAAGTTATTCCAGTGACTTTCCAGCTTAAAATTTGAAAGCAAATTTTCCTTAAGAGACTATCAAGTACCAGTGTCTTCATGTCGATAAGCTGTTACATATGTCCCACCAGTTTACAACTGAATAACATGTATACTACATACTCAAATTTTTAATCGTTCACAGCACAGTAACAAAGTTATTGGGAAAACAGGACTACCACACCAAAGATGTTACAGAGTGCACACAATTCTGACGGGGAGAGTCACGATCAAGGAGTGATTTTCTTTAGGAAACAATTCTACTAAAACACAACATGGGAATATAAGTAATTTAAAATATTCAATACATTAAAGGCAGAACGGACTTTGTATTGCCATTTAATATGCTTTATAGGATATAAAAACTAACCTTCCATCTATGGAATGTTAATTTGACACTCTAGACAGTCAAAGCGTCCCATAATTCAATATCCTACACTATTTTCTGGTTGTACCAAAAAATAAACAACAAGCAAATGATTTCACCTCTGAAAACAAAGCATTTACACTTAAAAAAATGGGATGAGGTGGGATTCCCTCCTTCTTAAAAATGTTTCTAGAGCTACTAAAAAACTTGCATTTACAAAACAGTTGATAAAAATATTCCTCTGGGTTGTACAAGAAGGGAGACAGGGACCACTGCTAAGACATGGTATACGGGATTCATCAGACTTGGCCTCTTTCTCTCCTGCTTCATCAGAGGCTGGACTCTCCTCAGTTTTCGTTTCCCCGTTTTCTGCAGGTAACTCTTCTTTAGTTTCTTGGTTAGCCACTTCAGCCTCTTTTCCCTTTGCTCCCCTTTTCCCTTTTGTTTGCACTTTTTTGTCTGAAGATTTATCCTTCGCTGCTCCCTTTTTCAGCTTCGCTTCCACTTTTGCAGGAGGGTTCGCTGATAACCGCACCAATCTCCTCTTGGGCTCTTCCTTGGCGGCCCCTTCGGTGGCGCTGACCTTCCTCTTGGGCATCCTGGTGGCGAGGAGTGTCAGGTGCCTGCAGGTCTCAGCGTGCGGAGAGCCTTCGCGAAGCTGGGCTTGCTGGCTGCTGCCACTCTTCCCATCGCCAGAGCTCAAAAAGGACTATAGTTTTAAAAAGCACGCACATAGGATTTCTTTTATGACTGTGTCTAAAATTACATAAATATTTGTGTGTAATTATAAAGAGATTACCTTAAAATATATTTTAAAGGTGAGTAAAAATATGCCAGAAAAAAAAGCTTATCAAAAGAAAACCGGAGTCTGGGCATGGTGGCTCACTCCGATAATCCCAGCACTTTGGAAGGTCCAGGCAGTCAGATCATTTGAGGTCAGGAGTTCGAGACCAGCCCGGCCAACATGGCAAAACTCCATCTCTACTAAAAATACAAAAATTAGCCTTGCATGGTGGCGTGTGCCTGTAGTCCCAGCTACTCGAGAGGCTGAGGCAGGAGAATCACCTGAACCAAGGAGGTGGAGATTGCAGTGAGCCGAGATTGTGCTGCTGAATTCCAGCCTGGGTGACAGAGTGAGACTCCATCTAAAAAAAAAAAAAAAAAGGAAAGAAAAGAAAAGTAAAAGAAAACAAAGAAACCTGAAGAATAGAATTGCTGACAGGATTGACCTTTATACCAAAAGTCTTATTAGAGATACATCATTACATCATTTCTTAGTGATCAAATAAATACTTCTCTGAGAAGACAGAACAATCTTGAACCTACAATGCCCTCTCTGTGCTTTTAAAACATATATAAATGCTATTGTAATATACATACCCTCTTAAAACTCACTTTTTGCGTTCAATACTGGTTTCTACATTTATCCCTTCTGATACAAGTAGCATTAGATTCTGCATCTTAGCTGTGCTATAGTAGGTCTTCCACCATAACAACTATTCATTTCCCTTTTGATAAATATTTAGGTTCATTCTAGTCTTTTGCTGTTAAAAACAATGCTGTAATGTAAGGAATATAACAACACATATTTCATTTCAATCATATGCAAGTGTATCTATAAGCAAATTCCTAGAAGTAGAATTTCTGGGCCAGAAAGTATGTGCATTAGTAATTTGATAGCTATTGCCAGCTTACTGACTACAGGGGCTCTAACTATTGAGTACCCTCATCCTACTACCAGCAACGTTGAAGGGTGCCTGCCTGTGGCTCCACACCTTCAACAACAGTGTTTATCAAACTGTCTCTTACTGGTCAGTCTGACGGGTGAAATTGTATCCCACTTTATTTTTATCATTAAGCTTGAACATCTTCTCACATGTTGAAATGCCATTTGTATTTCCTTTCTAATAAAACATATTGGTATCCTTTGTTCATGTTAAAATTGGTTTGTTAGCCATTTATTGATTTAAAGGAGCTCTTCATGTATTTGGGAAATTAGTCCTTTGTACAATTAGCAGCAAATATTTCCCCCAGGTTTTCATTTGTCTTTTTTTAAAAAATTGAAATGTGGTCTCGCTATGCTGCCTAAGATGGTCTTGAATTTCTGGCTTCAAATTGTCAAGGCGAGCCACTGTATCTGGCTCATTTGTCTTTCACTTTACTTAGAATTGTTTATTTTTTGCAGGCCAGAAGATTTTTTTCGATGTAGTTGAAACTTTTTTTTTTTTTTTTTTTTTTTTGCTCTTGTATATATCATCAAGCTTACAAAGGTCTTCTCCATTCCAGGATTATTTTTTAAAAAAAATTCTCCCATGGTTTATTTTAAGTGTTTTTATAAATTCATATTAACATTTGAAGAAAACTCTATGAGAAGATATTTGCAACTGTACAAATATAGCTGGATCTGGTTTTTGGAATCTATAAAAAACTCCTAGAAATCAATAACAAGACAAACAACCCAAGTAGAAACCTACAAAAGATGTGAATGAGCAATTCAGAGAAGACGAGCTCTAAATGGTCAAAAAAATGTGAAAGGATGCTTAACTTCTCCAGTAATTTAGGAAAAGCAAAGCCAGTGTTCTGTACTCATCAGATTGGCAACAATGCTAAAGCCTGTATCAAGAGTGGTGAGGATCTGGGGAAATACTGATGTGAATAAACTTCAGGTAAAAATGTGAATTGTTACTATCATTTTGGAAAGCAGATTGGGAATATTTATTAAGGTTCAAATGCTCTAACCTCTACCTGCCCTCAGTACCCCCATCTCCCAGAAGGCATGCCCTTTAGTAATCTCCTCCCGTTGAGTGTGGGTCAGGCCTAGTAACTCACCTTTATTAATAGAATATGGCAGAAGTGTTACAATGTCACTTCTAGGAACAGCCTTGCAAGAAATGTTAAAAGAGTTTCTTCAGAGAGAAGAAAAATAATATTGGTTAGAAATATGAATCTACATAAAGAAAGGAAGAATATTAAAACAGAAATAAATGAAGGTATAAGTAAAATAAAATGTTTTGTTTTTCTTGTTACTAATCTAATAAATTTATTCAAAAAAATAGTAACAGTATGTTGGATGATTATATTATATATACTAATGAAATGAATGACAGAAATGCTTATTACAGTTCTGTTATAAGAGACCGAAGGCAGGAATTGGAAATGTTATGTTATAAGGTGCCTGGACTATTTCTGAAGAGTTATAGTGTTACTTAAAAGCAAACTTGGACTAGTTGTAAATGCATATTGCAAGCTCTAGAGTAATCACTAAAATAGTAAAAATAAAAATAAAAATATGCTAAGAGAGGAGAGAAAATTGAACATATAAAATGCTTAATTAAAAACAGAGAAGCTGGGTACAGTGAATCATGCCTGTAATCCCAGCACTTTGGGAGGTGAGGTGGGAGGATCGCTTGATCCCAGCAGTTCCAGACTAGCCTGGGCAATTTAGGGAGGCCTCATCTCTACAGAAAAAGTTACATAGTTAGCTGAGCATGGTGGTGTGTGCCTGTAGTCCCAGCTACTCAGGAAGCTGAGGTGGGAGGATTACTTGAGCCTGGGAGACAAGGCTGCAGTGAGCTGACATCACACCGTTGCATTCCAGTCTGAGTGACAGAGTGAGACCCTATCTCAAAAAGAAAAAAGAAAAAAGAAAAAGGCTGGGTGCAGTGGCTTACACCTGTAATCCCAGCACTTTCGGAGGCCAAGGTGGGTGGATCAGCTGAGGTCAGGAGTTTGAGACCAGCCTGACCAACATGGGGAAACCCTGTCTTTACTTAAAAAGTACAAAAAAATAGCTGAGTGTGGTGGTGGGCACCTACAGTCCCAGCTACTCAGGAGGCTGAGGCAGGATAATCACTTGAACCTGGGAGTTGGAGGTTGCAGTGAGCTGAAATCACACCACTGCAGTCCAGCCTGGGTGACAGAGCGAGACTCTATCCCCCCCCCCAAAAAAAAAGAAAAATAAAGAAAAGGGCAAGGGTGAGAAATAGTAAACAGTTACAAGTATGGTAGATTAATCCAACTATATCAATAATTACTTTCACTTTAAATGTGAATAGTCTAAATGTACCAATTAAAAGAGACTAGCAGAATGGATTTAAAAAACAAGATTGAACTATGTGTTATCTACATGAAACCAACTTTATCTATGAAGACACAGATTAACTAAAAGTAAAGGGATTCAGAAATATATAGCATACTAATACTCATCAAAAGAAAGCCAGAGTAGCTATATTAATTTCAGACACGGCAGATTTCAGAACAAGGAAAATTATTAAGGATAAACAGGAATGTTATGTAATGAAAAAGGAGTCACTTCTCCAAGAAGAGGTAGCAGTCTTTAATGTGTGTGTGCCTAACAACAGACTATCAAAAGATGAGTCAAAAACTGATAGGACTTCAAGAATAAATAGGTGAATCCACAATTATAGTTGGAGACTTCAACACCACTCTATTAGTAATTGACAAATCTGGCAGGCAAAAAATCAGTAAGGATATAGTTGAACTAAATAGCATCATCAGTCAACTGGATCTAATTGACATTATTATAGACAACTTCATCCACCAAAAGCAGAATACACATTCTTTTAAAGCTCACATTGAACATTCACCAAGATAGAATACATCCTGGGCCATGAAACATACCTCAACAAATTTTAAAATATAGGCATTATATAAAGTATGCTCTCAGACCACAGTGACAACAGCCACATGAGTTAGCTTAGAAATGGTTTGAACAATGAGAACACGTGGACTCAGGGAAAGGAGCATCACACACTAGGGGCAGTTGGGGGAGATATGGGAGGGACAACAGGGAGTGGGGAGCGTGGGGAGGGATAACATGGGGAGAAATGCTGGATATAGTATGCACCTAAAGTAAAATTAAAAAAAAAAAAAAAGGTTCTTCTTTGGCCTGTCAACAACCATGTAAAAGAGTGTAGAAGTGGGCCTCTTGCCCTACTTGAGCCTTCAAATGAGACTGCAACCCTAAATGAGAGCTTGGGTGCAACCTCCTAAGAAACTTTGAGTTAGAGGCATCTAACTAAGCCATGTCTGGATTCCAGACCCATAGAAACTGTCATATGATAAATGTTTGTTGTTAGCTTCTATGTTTTAGGGAAATTTGTTATACAACAGTAGATAACTATTACTATACCCTTTCACCAAGAAATTCTATTTCAATGTTCTTATACTAGAGCAATTTATTTCAATCCTTTTCACACCAGAACATATATTTAAAATGCTAATATTGTATCAGCTCACTGGGGTAAACAGACAAGTGTGCCCTTGGCCAGAGGCAACAGTACCTAGGGGCAGCCACTGGGTGAAGTTAAATCTATATTCCTGGAGGGAGGGCTAAGGGGATCAATATATCAGAACACTTATAACTCAGTTGGGAAACTACCCTGAAGAGACTCTTCTATGTAGGCACAAGGACATGCACTAGGCTGTTCATTGAATCTTCACTTATAATTGCACAAAACAGAAACAGTAGGGAAAGAGATAAATTGGATAACTTAAACAAAAGAAGTCCATACAATAATACACTACAGTAATATATTGGATAATTGATCCACTAATATTCAGCAGTTAAAATGCATC